AGATCTACCCAATCCGACGGCTTGGACAACATTTTTAAAACGATAAGCCAATTAATGCATAACGTTTGTTACAACGGGAAGTCCAAACCATAGCTTATTTGTAAAGTGTGTTTACAAGGATACGTAAAGCGTGCGTATTACGATTTATTCACTATTAGACTGATCAAGTATGCATGTAACAGATTGGTAAGAAAATAGGGAAAGTTCGTGAGCAAGACATCCCTGAGCCAAGGGTCATTTAAGGTCCGAGTCAGGAACAAAGGTAGTAGCCGGAGAGCGCGCTAGTTGATAGGGCATGACATTTTTGATGTTCTTGTTTTCTGTTGGCCTACATGCCGCATATGGTGGTAGGTACCTCATATATGTGTCCTGGATTAGCAGACGTTTCGGCCATAAGAACACGCCAGCGTCGTTGATGCAGGGACGTTACTTTGTATAACTTCGGGAGAGGGGGGGGGGGCGGGGGGGGGGGGGGGGCGGGCTCAGACACACTCTTAATCCCCCAATGCTGACTTGAGCCCCTTCAATACTCTACTAAGACCACCTTGAATGTAAATGATCAGAAAAGAGAATGCTGGGTCAATAAAATGCTGCAAATTGCTCTGAGTTGCTGGTACACTAGGCACACATACACATCACTATCAATATCATGCGCATTCTGTAGCAAATAGTAGGTATCCTACGCCTACCTTATCATCTTATCACGCCAACTACCCCCTATGTTAGGCCAGTTTCCAAACGTCGCAGGTTTTCATGAGATCATATAGGTGGATCCGGACAGCAACGAACACACACACACAAAAAAAACACGCCGGGATATGCTATGTGGCGGCTTTCCAAGTATAAGGTGGCCTATATAAAACCTAACTAACACATCATCGACAATGGTTATTGCATGTGTCGCACAATCGTGACTGTAGTGGCGTCTGACCGTCAGTTCGCTGGCGAAACACGAGCAGCGACATTGAAGGCCGGGGACACCACATCCGTTATATAATGACCGCAAAAGATTCTTCAAATAGCCCCCTGGCGACTCCAGATACCCAACAGCCGAACTTTCTGCAATCGGACGTTTGTCCTGTCGATCTTGTCGACGGTGAAGCGTCCCAACTCAAGTCTGAAGGCGACCTTAAGCTCTTGAAGGTTCGTCGGCTTGTCCACATGGGCGTGGTTCCTTAGCGGACGTCGTGCCCCGCAGCATGAAGTCCAGTGGCGACAAATGGGCCGAGCGGGAAATCAATCCACGGAAGTCTTAACCAGCGCTCGGGTGGGGGTCAAATTGACTCCCCCGAAGGTTTTCCCAGATGTTTTTTTTAACAGCGCGGCGTATCCACGCCAAATTTTGCATAGTTGTACACAGTTGAGTAGTGGATCGTCTAGCATCAAAAATTAGATGTACCTTGTAAGGTCGCTGACCAATGGCAGGTCAATTTCAGGTCATAGTTTCAGCGAAGACAATTTTTAGGGATTCGTTCAATCTGATCCAACAACGGAGTGTTAGACAAAGCCATACATCTCAGAGATATTTCCTTAGGCAACACAGCAGTTGAATTAACATATTAGATTCACTTATGGTCAGGTGTAAAGGTCAGACCATTGTCGAAAACAACCTGTTTTATTACCCTAGCGCTTGCTGTATGTGATAGTTCCTAGTGCTCATTACGAATTTATTGGTAGCAGGAACCGTATTTTACACCTTCCATAGACTTTTGAAAGGTCAGAACAGGTCACTGACCTAGAATGACCCAGGCAACATTTTGTTTGAGTTGTGAGTTCACGTGAGTTCAAGTGAGTTCACGTACAGGTCAACACACCCTGTAAATTTTATGCCTCTAGCTCTCTTAGTTCCCGAGATCTCTGGGGGGTCAAATTGACCCCCACCCGAGCGAAGGGTATCCAACTGGCCACCCGGGCACGTGTTAAGCTGATGTGCATTCCAGGAAAACGTTCCTCCAACCAACGCAGTGCAGGCCGTGCCGCGTGCGGTGCCACTCCGCCCTGCTGGAGCCACTCCTCGGTCTGTGTGCGGTGTTGTTACTCCGCCCTGCTGGAGCCGCTCCTCGGTCCGTGGGCGGTATTGTTACTCCGCCCTGCTAGAGCCACTCCTCGGTCCGTGTGCGGTGTTGTTCCTCCACCCTGCTGGAGCCGCTCCTCGGTCCGTGGGCGGTATTGTTCCTCCACCCTGCTGGAGCCGCTCCTCGGTCCGTGGGCGGTATTGTTGCTCCGCCCTGCTAGAGCCACTCCTCGGTCCGTGGGCGGTATTGTTACTCCGCCCTGCTAGAGCCCTCTCCTCGGTCCGTGGGCGGTATTGTTACTCCGCCCTGCTAGAGCCACTCCTCGGTCCGTGGGCGGTATTGTTACTCCGCCCTGCTAGAGCCACTCCTCGGTCCGTGTGCGGTATTGTTACTCCGCCCTGCTGGAACCGCTCCTCGATCCGTGTGCGGTGTTGTTCCTCCACCCTGCTGGAGCCGCTCCTCGGTCCGTGGGCGGTATTGTTGCTCCGCCCTGCTAGAGCCACTCCTCGGTCCGTGTGCGGTATTGTTACTCCGCCCTGCTGGAACCGCTCCTCGATCCGTGTGCGGTGTTATTCCTCCACCCTGCTGGAGCCGCTCCTCGGTCCGTGGGCGGTATTGTTACTCCGCCCTGCTAGAGCCACTCCTCGGTCCGTGGGCGGTTTTGTTACTCCGCCCTGCTAGAGCCACTCCTCGGTCCGTGTGCGGTGTTGTTCCTCCACCCTGCTGGAGCCACTCCTCGGTCCGTGGGCGGTATTGTTACTCCGCCCTGCTAGAGCCACTCCTCGGTTCGTGGGCGGTATTGTTACTCCGCCCTGCTAGAGCCACTCCTCGGTCCGGACAATGCCATGACGGCCAGGGCGACGACGGACAAGACAATCCCGTGAAATCGCCCCAGGGCCACCCATACGGATATCAGAGCGGAAACAATGTGGCGCTCTGAGGTGTTATTGACAGGATTCTCGTTTACGTCCTCAAAGCATCTTCTGTAGAGTTCCGAATGGATAAATGCGAGATCACTGATGACTGACATTGTTTTTGATCATTTGGGTGCCCTACAGTTTTGATTGTGCGAGAAATACACCTGTCATTTTGTTAGTGAAACGTTGGTTAGCTTTTCTATTTTTTGCAGCACCATGTATAAACGGCAATTTCACGTACAGAAAGTCTGCTTGTTGCATCTTTCTAAAACTTGCCGGCGAACCTGACGACGTTGCATCGTCAACCCAGAATTTACAACACAATCGGGAGACCGCACTCAGTATACAGTATACAGTATACACATACCATGTACGGTATATAGGCCATCAACCATTCAGAAGAGTGCATTGTTTCGTCCTGAGGACTGATATCGGCAGGAAGATGCCCATTTTTTTCTCGCACAATACACGCATCCTGGGGTAAAGTTAAGTGCTGGTCGATGCACCAAAGACGATTGAATGCATGCTGTTTTTTAATCGCACGTCATTTCTGTTCACAAAATTCACATTTCCAGTCAGTTGTTAACAATTGCAGACAATCGATGGGCTGCTTTGTCCTGGTTAATCCCAGAATCTCTATCAGAGGGCGAAATCAGCGAACACGCCTGATCCCTCTATCTGTCTGAAATAGCCTTACCAGCGATGCGTACTTAGAACCCCCTGATCCGTCTGTGACATGCTGCTATCCGCGCTGAGACGGTTATGATTAAGGCGTTCAGTAACGGGTACAAGCTAGTTAGTACAACCCTGTATGGCTATCTGAATGCAGAGAAGATGACCCTGGGCCACGTTTAATGTCTACACGTGAAGCATATCAGGAAGATGCCCCTCGTAAATTGGTTATGTTGTGAAAGTGCTCATGCTCTGTCATGCTGTGCCATGTTTTGCTCTGCCGGCATTGACCGGGCTCCTGAGCGGCACCCCATTGGCCGGGTGGGGGGGGAGGGGAGATTTGTCCCCTCCCCTGTTTATCTCAAGAAAAGGTGGATTGCATTCAGAAATTGCAATGTCACTCGACGGCGCCGTGGCGTGCGGTGTCAGACCACACATAACAAACCTCAGCGGCTTACACGCCGCGTCACAGCGCCGCGCCGTGGTAGACCCGGGCCCCCCCCCCCCCCCCCGCCCACTGCCGCTGGTCCGAGCCCAGCTGGCGACCGGCAACATGCGCTGAAATGCATTTCAAGCAATAACTCTGTCACTGTTGCTTATAGTTGCTTAAAACTTGGTTCACATATCCTTAATCGTCGCGTCTCGGGTATTTTGCTCATACCATCATAATTTTGGGTCTAGGGCCGCACACTTTGAGCCGACTTTTTATCTTTTGTTTTCGCACATGCCAATATTTCAAATGCAATATCCAAACAGCAAAACGACAGTGCATGTGAATAATTCAATAATTGACCGTTATTTCCCGCTTACACATATCAGTTCCTTTTTTTCGTTCAGTTGCTGTGCCAGCTCGTCTACGACTATGCACTTTTGTCAAAAATCGGCAAATAGGACGTCGCTTTAGCGTCATTCATGCTCGATGCATTATAACCTCATAGCTGATATTCTGATACAAAGCAGATAACTGATCAGTCGCCAGCTGCTAGAATAATCGCACCGATGTTTCAACGCTTTCTTAATGATTGCAAATATTCGACACGGCGGGGGAAGGGGAGATTTATCGATCCTTCGGTCACTGCTCGATATGCATCATGTTACACTGGGCTTAAGTATACATGATGAAAGTCCTGCATTTTGTCCTGCGCTCGGCTGGGGCTTTGAGACAGCTTTACCAGACCGGAGGCACGGAAAGTCGAACTTTCCCCATCCCCCCCGGGTCGGATCTCCAACTTCCAGATGTGCGAGAAAAAAGATACCGTTTTGAAGGCCCGTCAAATCATAAAGAATGCTCACTAAAGTTTTTACTTTAGGTCAAATATGAGGTCACCAGAGGCCACGAAGGGTCAACAATGGTCATTCTGATAGATGAGGTCAAAACACATGTTAACACATCAAGATGGATATGGAGGACACGTAGGTATGGGGCTAAAACTGTTGGGAGTCCATTCCGACCATTTTTCTTCCCTGACAAGGGTCAAGTAAGGTAAGGTCACCATTCAAAAAGGGTCTGCCATAAGTCTACAACAGCGATACTTTTTTGCTTTCTCTCACAATGTGCTTCTGACTAAGTTAGTTGTTCAGTGCATTAGCGAGGAACATTATTCACATGGATAAGACAGCAGTATTAGCCTTATTCCTAGGAAAAAAACAGGAGAATGGAGATATAGTTCGGTTAAATAATTCAGCAACATGCCTTTATCGAAACAATAGTCCTCTGCCATTGTTCCGACAAAGGCATGTTGCCGAAATATCAACCTAACTATATCTCCACTCTCCTGTTTTCCGAGGAATAAGGCTAATACTACTGTTTTATCTATGTGCTTATGACTAAGTTTAATTTCATTAGGTGTAGCTGTGAGGCAAAAGTATCTCAGACACAAAAATGTAACTTAAGGTTGACCTTAGGTGTATCTCAGGTCAACCAAGGTCAAAATTATAAACCATCTAAAAGCAAAACTTTGAAGTGCTAATAGGAGGTAAGTGACCGGTGCAACGCTTTTCTATGGTCAATAATAATGTATTGTAATAATGTGTTGTACATCGATAAGTACTCAAGATCGCATTATTGTTCATTACATCACACATAGTCCCTTGGCGCTTGGAATCTTGTAAGCTTGCATGTCCTCACGTAACCTTTCCTGACCTTATCGTGCATGAAGATGATATCCCAACATGTTGCCAGTGAAGTTTTCGAATTATACGTCCAAAATTACCTTACAAAATTGCCTGTTTTGGGCTCAGCATGCGGTTTGCAGAATGCACCCACAGAGATGCATCATGACCTGTGCCAAGACCATGTGCTCTGTGGTCGTATGATGGTTGTGCATGTGACCCAGTACTCTTTTCTTTATACAGAAGCACCAAAACTGCACAAAAAGTACAAATCCACATCTTTTAAAAAGTCGCAAAAACTAACCTGACCTCAGGTCACTCCTTCGCATTTTTCGAAAAATCGGAAATAAAAGCTGTAAGCACTATCGTCATCTATTACTATAGCGAGTTTCAGCACAGCAAATAACTTACAAAAACGCTACAATGGGTCAGACTTTGTTTAGGCGCTAACCTCTTTAATATGGCTTGGGTCTCCGGAGACCGAGGCTTTAAAAGTGCACAAAGGGTACCAAATAAACAGGGAACACGCACGATGTGTTTGGTGTTGCTGCGAGCATTTATTTCTGGGCTATGTTAAAAAAGACGTAGGGAAAAACCAACTTTCCCCCGGCCGGGTGCGGGTAAAAATACCTTTTTAGTGAGCAAATATATATAATTAGGAAATAAGACTGGCCAGAATGTGGTGCTTTTTTCTCTTAATAAGAATATATGTGCTACTTGCATGGTACATGGGTTAATGGGACACCTAAATTAGTGCATAGCTTTGTGTTATTAGGAACGAACGTTCCAGGAATGATTGAGACTCCGAACTCTTCTCTAGAACCTTACTCTTGGAAAGCCAAAACCCTGCAGTCAGTTAATTTTTCTTCCGCGCTTTCTTCCCGTGACTTTAATGTCTCCTATTAATAAAAATAGGAATTGTGACGGCCTATCCACTGGACATGCTCTTGCCATGCCTTCTGTTTCTCCGCCAACGGATGTATGTGGATGGTGGGCCGTCACATTTCAATGGGCTAGAAAAGGCTGCAAAACGCCTCGGCAAACTGTATTTGAAGAGCTGCGGGCAGGCCCGAATAAAGTTGGCCGTGACATAGTGTGAAGATGTGCCACGACCGATGGGTACTGGGCTGCCAGTTATGGGCAATGTTTCCAGCTAGCCTCAGCAGCTTGACTTAGTTTATCAATCGTGGTGCTTGGCAATGACTCTTCTATGACCTGACCAAAAGAGGCTTATGTCGTAAGGCGCAGGCGGTAGCGGAAAGCTTCTTGGCTAGCACGTGGCAGCATTTCGGCTGGTAGCATAGTGGTGAGGCGACGCTGCTTCATTAAATCTACGAGAAATTTTCCATCTCACTCTGGAATGATGATAACGATCAGTCCGCTGTGTGAACGGAACATTTTCAGGTGTGTTGGGCAGGAAGTGATCGCTCAGAAAATATATTGCAGGGTATTTACAAGCTGGAGCGACCTACCAAGTAAAGAAGCTGCGCGACTGAGTTTCGTCTTTCAACGATGCAGAATATATAAATAACGTTGATATTTAATTCCCTGTTCATGTCACGATTCCGCGATATCGGCACAAAATCCCTGCTGAATTGGGACGAGGACATCCCACATCCCGTTCTGGCCGACAAACATCCACCCAAAATAACCAACCTTCATCGGGAACGAGCGCGCCGGCCAAGGAGATCCAGAACCTACTCCTGCGGAGAGCCAAGTTCTAAAGACAGCAGCGATTTCCGGAACCGAGCTTAGTACAGCGGTGATGACGTCCATTACCATGAACTAATCCGAGACTAACCAGGGTGTATGGTATGTACATGGTGGCGATAACTTCGGCCTGTTCTTTGACGGTATAGTGAATGCCCCAAATGGGCTAGGGTGCTGTCGAAAAACTGTACACATGAGACGTGCTAAGTTCTTGATACCGGTGAATTCGCAACGGATTGAGATCGTCCTTGATAGTTTTAGGAACAGCAGGCTAGAACTACAGCTAAAACATGCCCGCCACGCTCAGCCTCCGGGGAACTCTACATGGAAGGTTTCGTCATGCGAGGCCCCGCCCGGCGATCGCGTCTGTCGAGTGACTCCAACATCACAGCGGGAGCCGTCTACCACACCAATGCCCTCCAGAGGCATTGAGGTAAGCAAGGTAAATGCGTGACGTGGAACAGATTTGTTCCCTGTGGTAGACCAGGTCATCACTAATAAACCGCGGGCGTGGACATTATTCAAATGCATGGCCGCCTTCACCAGAAGGCGGCCAAAGTGTTGATGTCAGTTTGGTGCCATCTGGGAACCCTGTAAAGCCTATAATATCGCCTTGCCCATCACATCCGATTAAACCCCAAGCTAACGGTGATATTAGATCTCTTGGATACTTGAACACTGGAGCCAGACAACATTTTTTGAAGAGTAGGCTTCAGGCTCTATGTGCGTGCATGCAATACATATCTAGTTGCCATCAAACAATATTTGCTAGATTTCCCTCAGATATCTTCTTTCCTTTTGATGTCAGGGTAATGTAATTAAGGCTACACAAGTGAAAATATTAACTGCATGATGAGCATGCCAAACATGATGTTTGGTCATAGCCCATTCATTAACCCTATCCCTGATTCGACGTTTTTTTAACGCAGGCTGATAAAGAGTGCTGATGCAACCCCTCCCCATGGCGTTTCGAAACTTCTCTAAGTGGAACAACTCGAATTCAGGAAGGGTAGATCGGTCTCAACTAGATTTCGTGACAGGTAAGAAGTTTTATGTTACTAGATAAAAATATACAGTGAGGGTCAACTTGTCCTGAAAATGAAATATTATCAGTTCCCAGGCTCTCACACACGAGACCATACCCCGTAGCGGCACGAAATCTTAACAAGCGTGCCTATGTTTTAAGCACATATCTAAATGTAGAATTCAGCGAATGCGGCAGCATCGCTCCGCCACCCTCGCCGTCCGTTGGTTGCCGTGCAGCGCTCTTAAAAACATCGCTTCTCGAAAACAGGAATGCTACAGACAAGTTTTTGGTGTCAAAATGCGTGCCATAGATGTCCCAGAGGTTGCAGACAATTTCGGGCGCGACTGTACAACATGCCGGAGAAGTATCCTCAAAGGGGCGCCCTACCAAAGCGAGTTCTAACATGCGCCCCTGTGGCAGGTTGAAATGCCCTTCGCTCGTGTGGGGATCAATTTGATCCCGCTGAGATCTTAGAAAGTACTTAAGCTCGAAACACGAAATTCTCAGAGTGTGTTGGCCTGTACGTGAACTCACTCTTGGGAAAATTTAAGATGCTTAGGTTATGACCTTCGGGTCAAAAATTTAAAAAAGTTGAACTCCAGATTGGTGTCCAAGGTGCCTCCCAGACCTCATGCAACCACCGTGTACCCAAATACCCGTTTCTAAGAAAAAGGCACTGATGTTCATTCACGGTCAGTGACAGAGATTCACTTCCCGAGCTGTCTCCTACAAGATGTTCACGAATAGCGATCTGTCTCAGCGCTGTTTGTGACATTCAAAGTAATTTTCAAATGATATTCTCGTTATTCTTAAGAACAGTGGACAGCAGGGGTGTATTTTATCAGTCTCATTATCTAAATGCAAAGGACGAATGCAAAAAAAAATCGGAATTCAATGTAGCGGGCATTTTCTTCTTGAAGCATTGACACAAATACTATTAAAGTCACACTTGTATGTGTATGTATCCACCAATTTAGCTTTTCTCAGTGCGATCTGTGATCTTGAATAACGAAATGGCGCTTACACAACGGAATACCTCGATGAATTTTAAATCTGTATCTTCTACACCTATGTTTCATTCTAAATAATATATTCTGCTGAAATAGCTAACAGGCTCTGTTCAACCATAGCGTATGGAAAATAACGATACTGATTAGAACCGCATGCCACGTTCAATGACGGAACACATTATTCAACGGGAAAACATTTGTCCATCTGCTCATGACAAACAAGGCGACACATAGTGCCCAACCAGGCCGTTTAGCAAGGACAGATCGCGCCAACCACCGCCGATTTCTGAAATGATGTTAATGTATGTAAAGGGATTAATGATTCATGATTCACCAACAGTTAATCGCACCCAAGTGCGCGACCTGCCACCAACTCTAACAGCAGGATTTAGAAGGACCTCAGTTCCAACGCTATGTGCAAATATCTGTTGCCGTTTGTAGTTCCGAACTTCACCTCGAAACCTGCAACCTTTATAGTCGCATCGTGGATGGCTCCGTGGTGGGGCAACCATCCTACTTCTCACACGGTGACAGACTTCTAACTTGTTTTGCTA